CATCTAGGATATTAAACTGCTACCAGAATTTTACATCCAGCTACCTTTACTTTTTAGAACGTATTCTCTATAATGTTATTGATACCAATTTCTACTTCACACAGATGGTTTTTTACAACAGCAAGTAAAGTTTTTCTAGCATCAGTTTTTAAAAGCCCTTCGCTCAGTGAAATCTGAATGTCTTTCCTACACCCTTATTATCTGTCCAGCCATCTTCGCCTTCCCCCACCCCTCACCTGTGCCTTTTCCTCTGTACAACCTACCCCAGTTCCCCGACCCCCACCTCAACCCCCAACCCCGTGTTGGTCACCTTCCCAGCCCAGACCAGGAGCCCCCTTGGACCTCTACCGGGTGCTAAGGACACAGGATGAAAGCGCCAGGTCCCTGCCAACAGAGAGCTCACCACTTTATCCATGCCTTAGTATAGGACCCCTGAATGGCACCTATGGGGACACAGAGAATCTCTGGACAAACTTCAAAATCAAATCAATGAATGCATGAAGAACAAAGGTAGATAGCTAGCAGATATGAAGAAACCCAATCCCACTCCTAAGAAATGGAAATTGAAATAATAAGATACCATTTTTCCACAGCTAGATCTGGAAAACTAAAAAGCGTTAGCCTGAATGTAAGAAAGCATCAGAGTTGCTGCAAGCATAGATAGATGCTAATACGTCTAAAGATTTTTATCAAAATGTAAAGTGCAAAAAAATGTAAAACGCACATATTCTTAGTCTCAGCAATTCTACTTTTAGAACTGAACTTGAAGTTATAGTGCACAAATGGTACTAAGATATTGTATAGAAATTTTATTTTATTGCTTGAAATACAGGTAGTAATATTTTTTTATAAACTGGGATCCACCTAGTTTATCATTGAATGGAGCTATTTATTATATGGCTGATGGTATATCAGTAAGGCACAAGGCTATGAAGATTTTAAAACAGAATGAGGAAGGGAGCAGTGGCTCCCACCTGCATTCCCAGAGCTTTGGGAGGCCAAGGTGGGTGGATCACTTTGAGCTCATGAATTCAAGACCAGCTTGAGCAACATGGTGAAACCCGTCTGTACTAAAAATACAAAAATTAGCCGGGCATGGTGGCACACACCTGTAATCTCAGCTACTCGGGAGGCTGAGGCTAGAGAATCCCTTGAACCCTGGAGACAGAGTGAGCCAAGATCACACCACTGTACTCCAGCCTGGGCGACAGAGCAAGACTGTCTCAAGAAGAAAAAAAAAAAGAAAAACAGAATGAGGTAGATCTGTAAGTAATTCCCCAATTTATCTTTTCTTTCCAGATGTATGTATCTAAGTGCCGACTTGAATGTCAAGCAAGCATCTGAAATTTAACAAGTAGAACTCTTCTTCTCCCCTTCTTAATTCCCCCTCAAGAATTGGCAGCACTGTCCACCCATGAGCTCAAGCTCATGACCCAGTCCTTAATTTCTCTTTTCCTCATCCTTCTTTGTATACCCCAACAACAGGCCTTCCAGAGGGACCTAGTATCAGTCCCTCTTTCCAGCTGCATCCCTACCATCCTCATCCAGTCTCCATCCTCTCTAGCTCCTCACTCCAATCTTGCTACCACACCCAGAAGGATCTTTTTAAAATGTAAATCAGATTTGACTTCTGTTTAAGCACGTCATTGTTTTCATTGCTTTCACCTGAGCCACAATGAGCTTGATCCTTTTTTTCTGGCCAGATCTCCTACCACTGCCATGACCCTCTGCTGCAATCACAACAAGCTATCAGCCTGGGAGTTTTCCCTGACCTACGTACTGTGTCCCTGCCTCAATAGCTCCGCCCTGATCTTCACTTGACTGGCTCCTGCTGTCACTTGGGTCTTAGCTACAATAATGTTGGAGGCCGAAAGATTGAGGGTGGTGATCAACTCAGTATACCACTGAAGGCTGTATGAGTAAACAGCAAACTGTTCTCATAAATGCATAATGTTGGCAAACTGACAAACTGAGTATGCCACCCAGAAGGAATGCTGAGGGCAGTCACGCCCCCTCAGTCTTTCAGCTTCCAACACAGTAACCTCTCTTCAGAAAGACTAGCTCTCATCACCCAGTCTATCTTCCTTGTTAATCATTATTCCATCACCCCATAATACCATCTTAATAGCCCTGGCCCCTTTCTGAAAATATCTTTATATATTTGCTCATATTGAATGTCTTTCTTGCTTTCCCTAACTCGTAACTGAAGTCTCCATTCTCTTCCAGAAAATGATGAGAGGTCTAGGATTAGAGTTGGGAATTCAGGTCAACCTGTCTGTGCCATCGAACATGACCTAGAGTAACCTTTAATCATATATGTGCCAAACTATTCCAACACCCTTGAAGAAAGAGGACTCCAAATGTGGCCAAATTATTTTAGCAGCATATTACTAACTAGAACTGCATCAAAGAAAATCTTTTAACATCTTATAGCCCTGATTATAAGGCCTCTTGCCTCACTGTACTTTTCTGTCTTGAAGCTTTAATAAAATCAAATTGGAGGACCTGACGCGGTGGCTCATGCCTGTAATCCCAGCACTTTGGAAGGCCGAGGTGGACAGATAACGAGGTCAAGAGATCGAGACCATCCTGGCTAACACGGTGAAACCTCGTCTCTACTAAAAATACAAAAAAATTAGCCGGGCGAGTTGGCACACCCCTGTAGTCCCAGCTATTCAGGAGGCTGAGGCAGAAGAATCACTTGAACCCGGGAGGTAGAGGTTGCAGTGAGCCGAGATTGTGCCACTGCAACCAGCCTGGGCGACAGAGTGAGACTCCGTCTCTAAAGAAATAAATAAATAAAATCAACATTTCCCTGAACATTTTTCATTTGTGATACCAAAAAACTAAAGCAAAACCCATTACAGGATGTTTCACCTGTATCTTGGTAATTACTTATTTTCATAAAACCCTGGGATGTGTTATGAAAATTTCCAAAAATAGAATAAAGAAAACACGTTTAGGTAAGTCGGATTCAGTGCTGAAATGGAGCAATGAGGTAGTCCTTGGTTACACTGTTAGTGAAAGTACAAACCAATGCCTACCTTTCTAGTAAGCAATTCTGGCCTCACTTAACAAGATCCTTAAAAGAGTTTTTCATCCTTCTGCCTTTCAACCTAGTAATTATCACCTTGAAGTAAGGTCAGAACTGCAGAAAATGACTTATGTACCAAGACATATAAGGACTTATGTACATCAGAATATTTATAAGTGTGAAGAAATTAGAAACAACCTCATTCCCAACAATAAGGAAGCAACAAATAGCATAGGATATATGGGTATATTTACAGCATTAAATGTGATGTGGTTAGGGGGGAAAAAAA